CTCATGCCTGTAATCCCAGCACTTTGAGAGGCCGAGGTGGGACAACTGCTGGAGGCCAGGAGTTTGAGACCAGCCTGAGCAACATGGTGAGACCTCATCTCTACACAATATTTTAAAAATTAGCTGGGCAAAGTGGTGTGCACCTATAGTCCCAGCTACTCAGGAGGCTGGGGCAGAAGGATCGCCTGAGCCCAGGAGGTTGAGGCTGCAGTGAGTTGTGATTGTGCCACCACACTCCAACCTGGGTGACAGAACGAGACCTTGACTCAAAAAACAAACAGACAAAAAAGCACAAACACATGTTGGCAGGAGATGCAGCTGCCTAGGTGACATAGACATGATATTTGCAAATAGCCTCAAGAGCACATATAATTGTAACAAGTGATGCATATTGAGGATTTTATTATCTTTATTCTAACATCTTCCACTGGATCACAAGTGTATACGACGAATTGTTACATATTGGCTGTGTTTAACAACTGGCTTCAAATTCTTAAGATTTGCCAGCTGGCTCCCACCAGTCAGTACAAGTTCATTCTAGCACATCTCTGTATAAAAAATCTGGGCCTGCTGAAATCTGGCTTCCAGAGCCACCATTCATCCAAAACCAACAACCTCCATCTTGCAAGATGCCCAGGAAAGTGGATATGGTTCTGTCCTTGCCTTGCTGAACTTCTGCAGGTCCCACTTACCTTCTCCAAGGCCCTCCAGGTCCTTTTTCTACCTGTTGGACAGTCCTGTCCAGGTTCCTTGAAGGGCTCTTTTAAAAATTTTTATCGGGCCAGGTGCAGTCACTCAAGCCTATAATCCTAGCACTTTGGGAGGCTGAGGTGAGAGGATTGCCTGAGCCCAGGGGTTCAAGACCAGCCCGGGCAACTTGACAAGACCTCTTCTCTACAATAAATACGTTTTAAAAAATTAGCAGGGTGTGATAGCACACGCCTGTAGTTCCAGCTAATTGGAAGGCTGAGGCAAAAGGATTGCCTGAGGCCAGCAGACTGAGGCTGCGGTGGCCGTGAGTGTGCCACTGCACTCTAGCCTGGGAGACAATTTTTATTGGTTTAGTCTTTGAGTCAGTCTCACACAGCTTTGACCTCCTAGGCTCAGACAATCTTCCTGCCTCAGCCTCCTAAGTAGCTGGGATTATGGGTGCATACCACAACACACGGCTAATTTTTTTTTGTAGAGACGAGATCTCACTATGTTGCCCAGGCTGGTCTCGAACTCCTGACCTCAAGCAATCCTCCCACTGCACCTAGCCTATTTTTATTCTTGTAGAGATAGTGTCTCATGCTGTCACCCAGGTTGTAGTGCAGCAGCACCATCATAGCTCACTGCAGCCTCAAACTCCTGGGCTCAAGCGCTTCTCCTGCCTCTAAAGCTGCCTATAGAAACTTAATATAGGGCCACAGAGTAAAAGTTGTGAAAAAGACCCGAGTTCTGCAAAGTTGCAGGCATAAGTTAAAGGTTAACAAAACTGTTATTTCCAAGTTTCTTTTTTTTCTTTTTCTTTTTGTTTTTTTGAGTTGGAGTCTCACTCTGTCGCCCAGACTGGAGTGCAGTGGCCGCTCACGGTCACCACAGCCTCGACCTGCCGGGCTCTGGCGATCCTTCCGCCTCAGCCTTCCAAGTAGCTGCAACTACAGGCGCGTGTTACCACGCCCGGCTAATTTTTTGATTTATTGTAGAGATGAGGTCTCGTCAAGTTGCCCAGGCAGGTCTTGAACCCGCGGGCTCAGGCAATCCACTCACCTCAGCCTCCCAAAGGCATGGGATTACAGGCTGAGCCACCAAGCCTGGCTTGTTTCCAAGTTTCATCAAGTTTCATTTCGTTTTCTTCCTTGCATGATTACTCGTACATAGAGTTTCAAGAGAGAGCATCACTAATAGTTGATTAGCTTCATGTCCTGAGTCCTGGGGAAAGCTGCTTGCAAGATTGATGAACTTTGTTTTGTGTGAATGACATGGCCTCACTCTGTTGCCCGAGTTGGAGTGCAGTGGTGCAATCATGGCTCACTACAGCCTTGACTGACTGGGCTCAAGCAATCCTCCTGCCTCAGCTCCCTGAGTAGCTGGAATTAAAGGCACATGCCATCATACCTGGCTAATTTTTATTTTTTGGTAGAGACGGGGGTCTTGCTAGGTTACCCAGGCTGGTCTTGAACTCCTGACCTCAAACAATCTTCCCACCTTGGCCTCCCAAAGTGCTAGGATTACAGTCATGAGCCACTACTCCCAGCTGAGATTGATGAAGCTTACATCCTGGAGACCTCGGTCTCCTGCACATTTTTCTGTAAAACTGTAGGCTGGGTACGTCCAGCCCGTGGCCCATGGATACATGCAGCTCAAGACAGTTAGAAATGTGGCCCCACAAAATCATTTAACATTGTGTGTTTTTTAGCGTTTCTTTTTTTTTTTTTTTTTAGTTGGAGTCTCACTCCTTTGCCCAGGCTGGAATGCAGTGGCACACAGGCTCACGACCACCCCAGTGTCGACCTGCTGGGCTCCAGCGATCCTTCCACCTCAGTGTTCCGAGTAGCCGGAACTACAGGTGTGAGCTACCATGCCTGGCTATTTTTCATTTTATTGTAGAGACAAGGTCTCGTCAAATTGCCCGGGCTGGTCTCGAATTCGTGGGCTCAGACAATCCACTCGCCTCGGCCTCCCAAAGTGCTGGGATTACAGGCTGAGCCACTGAGCCCGACCTTTTGATTTTTTTTGTAGAGCCAAGGTTACTCTGTAGCCCAGACTGGTCTTGAGCTCCTGGGCTCAAGCAATTCATTTGTCTCAGCCTCCCAAAGTGCTGGGATCACAGGCATGAGCCACTGCACCCGGCAGTGCCAAATTATTTTTGTGGCACCGTAAGCGTGCCACTACACTCCAGCCTGGGCAACAGAGTGAAACTCTTGCTCAAAAAAAAAAAAAAAATCAAAAGATTAGCTGGCATGATGGCGTGCGCCTGTAGTCCCAGTTACTCGGGATGCTGAGATGGAAGGATCACCTGACCCCAAGAAATCGGGGCTGCTGTGAGCCCTCATCACTGTGATCGTGCCACTGCACTCCAGCCTGGGCGACAGAGTGAGGCACTGACTCAAAAAAAAAAAAAAAAATTGGCAGTCAGGGGGTTAGGGAACGGGCACTGCTAATTGACTGGGAATGAAGTCACAATTGAAGCTGTTTTTCTGGGCAGAGCAGTGGGAATCAGGACAGGGAGAGTCACCTCCTTGGTACGGGTCACGGGTGGGGCCAGTTGGTCACCAAAATGTAAAGTCTGAAAAATATCACAGAGGTTGACAGTAGCAATTAGGGATGTTACAAGTCTTGTGACCCCCAGTGATCTGACTCCTGGGCAGTAAGTCATTATAAAGAAGTTAAGGCCGGGCTCGGTGGCTCAGCCTGTAATCCCGTGCCTTTGGGAGGCTGAGGTGAGT